TAAAACGAATATTATATCCTGTTAAATCACTCACCTAAGCAAGTATCCTGAGCAAAAACTTCCACAGTCAAAAGAAATCAAATTAGTCATTTACTATATTCTCATCACGTATGTATGTTACACTCACAACTTTAACTTCGTACGTGCTAAACAAATTTATTTCTAAATTATATCAATCATCGCACTAAATGACTATTATAACCGAAATGTCATAACAAGATAGCTTATGTAACGTAATATCAACTTATGACTGAACTTGGCGTTAATTTGCACTAACTTTCGTATGATCCGTTATATTTGAAACATTTTTGTGCCATTTTGAGAAATGAATCGATTCAAAAGATTGATTCAAAAAGATCGATTCAAAAAAATCGATTCAAAATGCTTGATTAAATCGGTGAAACGATTATTTTCAAAAAAAAATAAATCGATTCACTAAGATCCATTCTTTCCTCAAGATCGCCCAATGCTAGTCCAGACCAATCAGCTGACACCAATTTTCATAAGGTATCAGCCAGTAATGCCACATATACAGAATTATCTGTAATCATACAGATTTTTTGTCAATATTTTGATACAGATGTCTGTATATACAGATTACAGATTTTTTTAAATAAACAGTTTTTTTTAAATAAAGGGAATATATTTTGTATTGTTTTTTAATAAATATATATTGATTAATTCCGATGAATAATCGTATCTTCCTGTTGAGCAGCTTAAATTCAATCTGAGCATCAAACCCAAATCGTATTTTTAACTAAATAAATTATTATTGTTTTAACTTCAAATAGGCTTGGAATCTTTCGAATGGACTTCTGATGTTCAGATGTTCTGATTTCTCGTTGGCAGAAATATTGGTTTCCCTTTCTATTCCCCCTTCAGATACGAAGTTAATTAAATATATTTTGTTAACTCGGTAAACAAGTCATTTTAGAAAACCCCCAAAGTGGTTGATTACAGTTTGTGAGTCGAAGAATCAACTGGATATTTTTATATTTAAAAACGTAATTATAGATATAAAGAATATTGCATGCAATTCGACTAAACTTTCTGTAAAAGTTCTGTGTTACGTCCAATGTCCAGATAAAGGTTTGTGCTTAACTGGTGCTTAATGTTTTGTATTTTCAGACAGTAAAAAACATACAAAACACTACGTAAATTCGCACTGAGACCATAATATAGAAATTATACAGATTTTTTCAAAGATTTTTGTCAGCCAGATATAGATTAAAAAGATTTTTTGCGATGAAAATACAGATTGAACTTTGGAAGGTAACGCAGGGCCCAGCGAAGAAACCTGCGTGGAACGCTTTCTATCCTGTCGGATCAATTTTGGTAGAAAGGATTCCAAACTGCTGATTCATATTCCAGTATCGATCGAACGAGTGCACAGTATAATGATTTCAAACAGTACACGTCTTTGAAATCTTTAGTTACGCGTAAAATCAGCCCTAGGTTTCTCGAAGCTTTATCCGTTATATAAGACACCTGTCTACTGAATGTCATTTTGGAATCCAAGATCACCCACGACAAAGAATAGTCGTAGATATGGGGACTATCCAAGTAACCAACAAGCCTGCTAATCGCCTTTTTGCAATATAATGCTGATATACCACTGATATAAAGTTTCAAAGCCCTATAACAACTTTATATTGCAAAAAGGGCGATTAGAGTGCTATTAACGGGCTTGGTGGTTATTTGGGTATGGCTTCTTGTGAATGAAATTACAGCCCACTTATTCGGGTTTAGCACCAAAATATTTTGAAATCGTCTGCACATGATGAACGACCCAAGTAGTACAATTCTGTCCCAAAAAGTTGCAGCAACTTGTTTATAACTGAAATAAGTCGTATATAAGTTTTCAAGACCAATTTATAACATGGGTGCTACTAGGGGAGGTCCTTTTAGTAAAATGCTGATGTCATTCAGGTACAATAGAAAAATTCACGGGGCCAGATGGCTGCCTTGAGGAACTCCAGAAGAGGCAGGGTTAGGGTGGGGCTTATTTTTCAAAATCTTTTGGGGACACGTTTTCTCATGTGGAAAATGATTACTAGGGCCAAATGAACAACATATCCAAAAATGAGCGTTTTTTGTTAAGATTTAGAGGTGGCGCCAGAGGCCTAAGGGCCAAAAGAAATTTTTGTTGCACACTTCTCAAGTAATAATTTCGGTTTTATAAGGGTTCTGTAGACCATAATTTAGACTTGTAGCATGCTTTAAAACCTCCATAAAACTTGCAATGTTATTTGGGTTGGTATCTAAGTGAGGAACTAGTTGGGCTTGCTGTATTCGATGAAAGTCTTCCCGACATATGGAGCGACAGAATCTCGCAAAATTAGCTTCACTCTACTGAAAGGGCTATCCGTCAAATTCATGATTATAATCGTAATGTAACTCAAAACGAAAATTTCCAGAATCTTATTGTAAACGTGAACTTCCACAAGAAAAACCTAACTGACTTGAAGAAAAGTACTATTGTTGATAAGTACTCGTCATAGTGAGGTCATATTCGAGAATTGGATTTTATGGATTAATAAAATTTAACACAAATATAATGAACACATTTCTAGATAAACATTTCAAAATGTCCTATCTGCATTGATCGATTCTCTTCCGTTAATAACTCAGCTGTAAAAGCTTTCCCTATTGTATTTGACATTTTGGATGCTAGATATTAGAGATGAACTAGCCTAAGGCTAAAAATCTCTTAAATAAAGAATTAAAAAAAAAAAAAAAAAAAAGGATGCTAGATAAGAATCTCCTTTATCGAACTATGTTGTAAAATTAGCGCGAAATCTGTTTGCATAGCAGTGGTTATCAAAAGGTCAAAGCAGATAGGACCATTTGAAATGTTCATCGAGATTTAATCATTTTCTCTCTCTCTTCTCTCTCACTTTCTCTCTCTCACACTCTCACGTTTTCGCTCGATCTGTATCGTACTCATACCAAGGGGGGGAGGTGGCTGTCAAATACAAACAATTGTGGTCTACCTCGCATAACTGGTTCCAAACGTAAACAAGCCATAAGAAACCTACAGTGTTTGTTTGCGTTTGGAACCAATTTCATACAAGAATGATCAGTAGGCTAATTTGACAGCACGTCCCACCCCAGACTCATACGCTCACTGCATCTAGCACTGCCAAGAATACTGTTTGCGCTAGATCATATTCGCGGGTGTAAGTCGGTTTGAACTTACACCTACGAATATGATCTAGCGCAAACAGTATGCTATGCCGTATATCTCGAAAATGGTTAAAGATATCGCCAAACGGACAAAATTTTTGTCCTTCAGGTTAACGAAATCACGTGTTTACTTAAAAACGCACTAGACTTGTTCGAAAATCAGCTTCGTTCGATATATTGGACTTAGGCCTCTGGCGCCACCTCTAAATCTTAACGAAAAACGCTCATTTTTGGATATGTTGTTCGTTTGGCCCTAGTAATCATTTTTCACATGAGAAAACGTGTCCCCGAAAGATTTTGAAAAATAAGCCCCACCCTAAGGGTAGGTGTTATGGAGGCAGTCTCCAATCTTGACGTTAAGACCGGCCGACCGGTCAAGTAAAATTGGAACCAATCAAGAAGACAGCCGGTGAAACCAAACCTGGCGAGTTTAGCAACAGCAATTTTGTGGTTGATTTTGTCAAAAGCGGATGGCAAATCTGTGTAGATAACATACGTAGTGAAGCAAAGTATAAAGCGAGTAAAGTATCGATGCACTTCTTCACCAGAATATCAGGAATTCCATCGGGTCCAAGTGAAGTCGAAGATTTCAATTTAGAAGTAGCCATCAAAATCTAGGAGTCTATGGCTACAGCTCTTGCTGGAACGTTTGTAGCAGCTTCGGTAATCTGTTGCGGTTGCAGTAGGGCTGAAAAAAATCACTGAAATTCATCAAAGTTCACTATGGATGAAACATTCATTTCATAGAATACGTAGAGAACAGTAGGCAGAGTTCCGGTTCACTCGAAGCTTCAGCGTCATTCAACTTAATCGTCGATGGCAATCCATTTTCTTTCCTCTGACTTCGAACATAGTTCCAAAAAGGACTTCGGATTAGATTTCATGGATGCTTGAATGTTGCGCTGGTTGTGCTGGGCTGGGTTGTGATCCAATTCGTGTCCGTTGTTTTGCGCTTAAAGTCGTTGCCGTTAAATCAGTTCGAAGTCTTTCTCTGTTGGTTTCTTGAACAATTATAAAGGTTTCAGAGACAGTAGGTGGTTAGCCTAAGGTCTCATATCCGCCGGGGCCATCTTAGGTGTAACTTCCGGGGAGGAGCATTTCTTATTCAGCCGCTGGATGCCAGTCAGACGCTTTTGCCCAGTCATGGAGTTGGCAGTCTTTTGTGATCATATGAATCGTGGAGGCGTAAGGTACGAACTTGTGAGGACCGGAGCTAGGTAAATCGGTCCTTCCAGATTGTCACTCACCATTTATTTTAAAATTTTAATCGTGACGTGACAACGTACAGAATCTCGTTCAATCTGTAGAACATCAATATTTCTACTCCGGGATGATTAAGAGAATCAACAAATATAAATTTACTATGACATCGTACAAGCCTTTACGGATATATGTACATACTAAATCACTAAGCCCCATCTTTAGTAAAGTTCCGATTTTAGAAGCCTCCTTTTTGAAAATATTTCCTAATGTTACGGTTATGTGAAATTATTGAAAGAAAGTCAGATGCGTGGAGGGGCTGACAAAACCGGTCATTACTGTATGTGGTTCTCTGTGCAAATCCACTTGTTCTAATAAGTAACAGAGTAGCAACTACGATATCCACGGTTTTGAAAAAAAAATAAATGTGTCGTAGAATCTTAGATTTTCCTGTTGAGTGTTGAAATGCTGAACCACTGAATGTGATGTGAGCTGAAACTGTAACCACTATTATGTAACACGTGCAATACTAAGTGAGCACTGAAAGAAACCAGATTCATATGAGAATGCCTGAGCACATTAATTGCAACCACTTCTCCCCTTCGCTTCCACAGGTGCTAATCACTAAACTCCGCTCGGCCAACACCGTCGAAACGCGCCAGTATCGAAAGGCATCGAAGGCCCTGCTAGTACTGATTCCGCTGCTCGGTATAACCTACCTGGTCGTCCTGGCCGCACCGTCCGAGGGTGTCGTGAGTGACATTTTCGCCGTGGCACGGGCACTGCTGCTGAGCACGCAGGTAAGATGCATAACGAATGAGGTCATTAAATTATGTCTGAGTAGACTGTATATAATTACAGCAAAGGTCTCAAGTGCACAGAACTCTAGAGGATTTAGCTCCCGTGAAACTACTTTAATACTGCAACGTAACCTTCAATCTAGCATGGTTGGTAGAAACGGGCAGCTCCATATAATTAGGGGGTAATCATGGTAGTGTTTACACAAGAAACTGGAACGACTGAACATGGGAATCGGTTTGACGTGTAACTATGGGCTATCAGAACTTCACTGTTTGAACAGCTGAGTCGTTGTAATTTTCTTGATATTGAAATACCAACAAAATGGATTACGACAAAAAACAGTAATTTGCATAATAAAATAATATCTATAATACCGGGTGCAGCAGAAGCCAAAGGTCAAACAAGGCATTAGAAACACGAGCTCAGCAAAAACAAATCCCAAGAACAATATTAACTGCAACCCTTCTGTCACATGATACTGCAGATGAATCATAATCATTTTCCGTTCAATTTTTTTTTTTTTTTCGTCTTCCACAAATTGAAACTGAGAATAACCGATCGTAAAGCATAACCGGACCAGCCTTCTCAATTCCATGTTTTATACTCTTTCTCTCCTTCTCTATCTTAATTCCACCAGGGCTTCTCGGTGTCGCTGTTCTACTGCTTCCTGAACTCGGAGGTCCGACTGGCCCTGAGGCACCGGCTGGAGCGCTGGCGAGACGAGCGGAACATCCGAATAGGTCAGGTCCGGCAGCGAAGTCGCCGGTAAGTAAATGTTTCCGTTCAGATTAGCCGGCACGGGGACCAACCGGGCTATAGCGTGTCTATTGGGACGAGCACCGGGACCGACGGACGACAATAACAACAATAGCACTCCGCTAGCGCACAAATAATGGCAGCGATTCTGCTTTTCTATATAGTGACCGACCGTCCCTGTACTTCCTTGCTTAAAGCGATTTTCTTATTTATGTCCAACTCCCTTCCCCCCGGAGCCCCTACCATTATTGTTGTAGCTGTCCACTTTATACCCCTTTCTTGGGGTGCTGTAGCTCCGTTTGGCTCGGTCTAGGTATAAGTGCTATCGGCAGTCATTCTCCTCTGAGGGTGGTCAATTGCTTATTTCTTAAGTAGGTACCGGGTGTTTCTTTAAAAGCAATCGTATTTTTTCATCTCGCTCACTTCATTCAGTCTTCTGATAGATTGTTGTTCAAAATGGGGTGCCGTTTTTTAAACTGAGCGACATCGACCATTGTGACCCACCCAGAACATCCAGGAAAATTTACCAAATATTTCGTTTTTCGATTTCGGCGAAAGTGGTTCCCGGAAAACAGCCATTTTTTTACAGACGCCACCATGGTAAATTATAGAAGTACGAAGAAAATCCTAGGGATTATTCAGTAGGACTTCCGGAGGAAGTCGAATGAAGCCTTTGGGGATCAACAGCAAACAAAACAATCGATATGTAGGGATGTTCCGATATTTGCGATATGTATGTATTTACAATCCAGCTCCCACTGTGTCTTATGGCTGCAAGAAGATTGAATCTGGAAGCTAGAAGGTGATAGCTCTAACGCAGTTCCAGTAGCCCATTTCAAGAACGCAAGCTATTTTTGCACACAATAAGCCCCGCCCCAATAAATTATCGATGCTAATAAACCACTGATACTGTATCGAAACTTTCAATCAAGCAGAAGTGCAATTTTTGATTGACGCATATTTGATGAGCATCAGTTAAATGATTGTATTTTGTATTTTTTTATTTAAATAATATAACTAAGATGTAAGTCAGCACCATCTGGAACAAACTGCTGTCTTCCGGAATTCCACTATCCAACAGCATCTGAAAGAAGTGGAAATCCATTTGGTCCCCGTTGCGGAATTCACTTATATTGTTACTACACAATTTGTACAATTCCACTTCACACTGTTAATTATTTCAAATTTGAATTTAATTTAACACAAAAAAAAATCACGCAGCAAAACAAAAATACGTCAATTCAGCAGCGCAGCTTACTTTGATCATTATGTTCAGATATATGCGATACATCGCAATATCGATATTTTTCGCACTATTTCGGACACATTTGTGTGTCGATATTTTCGTCAGTATCGATTTTTTTTTTCTTATTTTGTTTTCCGTACTGAGTACCAATGCTACCAACGCCAGGGAGGCAGCTCCCACACCAGGGTCGTACCTATCGACACATCAACTCATGGACCGGAGGACCAACGGCTTTACTTCCCGTGATCAGAGATTTTATCCCTCAGAAAATCCCGGCAGCGCTGACTGGCCCTTTGTGGTGAGAGGCAATTACGCTTACCACTATACCCAGTGATGCAAAATATCACGACACTCACGTGACACTCGTCTTCGCATCAACCGACTATCGCTGACAGATCGTTTTGTCACGCAGTGAGAGTTAGAGCCATGGCAAACATCAATCACCAGTAATGGTCACTGCTCACAAGCAAATCGTTACACTCGCTGCTGATAATGAAAAGCACAACGAAAACATTAAAGACTTCTGCAGTACGATCATGAGAAAAAGCGAAGCGACAGAAGAAAATGAAAACAATGCCTACGCATTCCAAGTTCATCTCGGCAGGCGCGTGACTGTGTGAGTTACAAACAAAGTAGGCAACATTAAACGGGAGCTGTTGGGCTCACTCACCAACACACTCACATAAGCTAGCAAAGCAGCAACTGCTTCAAAACGAGCACAAATGAGTGTCGTGATTGTTAGGAATGACCAGATTGGTGATGGATCAGAACAGAAGACGACATTCACCAGTTGCTTTTTACTTCTTTCGTCAACTTGATGGATGGTCATGGAGAGAGCTTCGACGAGCACATTGATAGGAATGTACAAAGCGCTACTACCATCAGCTGTTTGATGATGGTGATTGTGTTAGGTCGCAACTCTGACTATACCACCAGCACCAGCATTTTCAAGCCGAATAGCAAACCGATTGGTCAGGATTGTTTCCGTGGCATTTTTCATTTAAATGACACTGAATCCCACGGTGATAGTGCGTGATTTTGCTGTGAAGATCAGTACTACGGTGAAATTTGAAAACAACGGTTAGGATTTTGATTTTTTTTTTAATATAGCTTGAAAACGACTTATTTGATTAAAATAAGATCTGAGAAAAAAGTTGTAGGTAATTAAATGTTCTTTGAGAGTTCTTTAATTAAATGTTCTTTATTATATACACTGAAAGATATAAATAAGTAGATTCATGTTAAAATAATAAAATTGTTATTTTCCCGGAAGCTTCTTCCCTTTCGATTCTCTTAATATTTTTTTGTGACGAAAACTAAAGTTATGTGAAGGTTAGCTGGTTGTATGTTTACATAAATTTTTTTTAATCATATTGAATTTTAAAACATACTTAAATTATACAAATTAAAGTAAAAAGGGATTCTACGCCTGATTCTACGCATAATTAAAAAAAAATGTATCATATTATTATGTTTTCCTAAGTCCAACCGTTTTAAAGAAATTGTGAGTTTTAAACATGAGAAACCGCAACAATAGACACAATTTTAACCAGGTAACGATTTAAGTGACACATTTCTCATATATTGGTTACTACCCAATTTTATCAATTAAATATGCTTATTTGTCTCATGAAATTTTTTTAAAACGGCATATTTTAACATGTTTATTTTACAAAAAATCAAAACTAAATATACGATGAACATGGCATCTGTGAAAAGACAATAATAGATTTTTTTATATTATTATTTATTTATTATTAGTAAATTCATGTAAAAAAATATAAAACGATGATTTTCGTAATATTTGCAAAGAAAGCTAAAGTTATGTGAACAATGTTAGTGGATTATTTCTTTAAATATTTTTTATTATTTAAAATATATTTTTAATTCTAGAACATATTTAAATTAAAAATTCAAATTAACTTAAGATCGGCTGGACTTAGACATTGAAAATATGAATGCTAATTTGTTAAAACTGATGCGATGTTCTGAAACTAAATAAAATTAAAAAAAAACTCGAATTACTGGCTCACACTTAACACCAACTTTAATGACATAACTTCAACTTTCATCACAAAAAATAATACGAAAATTGAAGTGGGGATCCACAGAGAAAATCAAAGTTGTATTATTATCTAATGTGAATATACTGATTTTTATCTTCAAGTGTATTTTTTTTTTCTCAAAGAACATTTAATTACCTACAATTTATTCTTATATGTACTATTACTAGCTAAGTGTGCCCGGCCTTGCTCGGGATTCAATATTAGCTTAAGTTTATGCACCGATTCAAAAAGCATGCTATACTTTTCTGTTTCATTTGTATATGAGCCCCCAGAGGGGGAGGTGTCTCGTTCCATCATAAGAACCTGTCGAGTCAGACAGACATACAGAAATTTATTTTCATATAGGGGAAGTGGATGTAATGTCGGCCTAAATGCCCTTAATTTGAGCCCATACCTAAATTTAAAATCGACTAAATTTTCAATAACGACAGGTTTTATGTGGGTTTAGGCTTGTATAATGCTATAAAACCTCTATAAAGCTTGCAATGGCAGGGTAGAGCACAATTTCGACCTAATCGCCCATTTTGGGCCTATCAAGCAACAAACATCAAACAAATCCATTGTTTCAGAGTTAACAAGTAGATTATGCAGTGTTCACTCGGCTGTCGACAGAAGCAGACCACTCTCAATGTGTGTCACACGATCGTCTGTTTACTCAGCACATTGTTGCAATGGAAGCACTCTGGTCCCTGTTGGCGAATCGGCCATACAATGAAACCACTGGAGGCGGCTCCCGTTCTGATGAAGGAGGCTTATTGGATAGCGGAAAATAAAATGTTTATTGTGTTGTACCTTTTGACTATAGTTTTAAGATGTATTGTATAGTGAACAAGAATCCTCGGCTCTGTAAAGTAAAGTCGGTTGAGCCTTATCAAATAAATTAATTAACAACAAGTAGATTATGCGTTTGGTACGATAATTTTGTTAAACAGCTACCGAACGAAGTCAATGAGAACGCGTGATATGAATGTTTGCACCCATTTTCCTCAAAATCAAAAGAAGCGCTTCGACCTAATCAATTTTTATCTTCATCGGATAGGCTGAAGTGAATTTAATGGTGTTTGAATGGTGTTTCAATGCATTAGGCCTAATTTAGAACCCGTAGGCCGAGTTTGAGATCAAAAAGTAGTGTTAGATTTTTAACAATAGCTCAACAATTTGTTTCCCTTTATCAAATCTTATGGTACGCATGGAAAGGTAAATAAATTTAGAAGTCATATGCAGTGAAAATATTCCGTTTTGTGAAAAAAAAACCTTAGTAGGCCCAAAATTAGATCTAAGCCCTACTTGGGTTTGCGTCGAAGCCGTCGGAGTGATGGCCACTTAACGCTTGACAAATCCGTCATAGCTGTCAAAGTCATGCAAAAGTTGCACAGTGGGGATTTTTGCTACAAAAGGCTTGAAATTGTCGGCCGCTGAAATCTCATATTATAACATATGACTTCCTCTGGGAAATATGTCAAGAATTCTATTCTGCATATTTTCAATCGGCGCACGCACTTAGCATGTTTGGAGCCTGTTTGCCCCAAAATCTCATATTTTCTGTAGTTTTGTTTTCCCCATTATGATACTTCACTGATTCAAATAGTCAGTAACTTTTATCAGAAGTAACCAATATTTCTTCTAGTAGTCAGCTTGTGCCTTTGAAAAACTATCAACAACATTTATAGGAGAGCATGGGGTCAAATAAACCAGAT